AGTTCTGATTTTATAGATCTCCATTGTGTTCTTCCTCAGCCACCTCTGTTTTCCAGGAAAGTGCCCTTTGATTTAATTGTTCTTTGGATGGAAACTATCCCATAACTTTGGTCATTTTTGTTAGCCTTGTCTTAACCCTTTCTAAGTCCATTCTATCCTTTTTGAGCTGGGCTGATTAGAAAATCAAACAGCAATCAAATTACAGGTACATCATAGATTTATTCAGAGGTGCAACATATTTTCAAGGTTATCCTTGATCTATTCCATTCTCCATCACCTTTTCCAAAATCCCCTAAAATGCAGTTTTTGCCTGTGACTGCTATGAAATATTGTTCCAATTTTTTCATATTATGTCGTCTTTTTGATTTTCCCTTTTGCCTTTCCTTTTCCTGTCTCAGATATTTATCATATATATATGTTTGTGTCTCATCTATACCAGCATGTGATCCTCCACAAAGCCTCAGCAGCACTTTTGTTAAACTGTGCAAGTGCTGTGCTGTTCCTGTCAGGTTTTCCGGCTGAGGTTTGCTTGTGATGTGCCAGGCTCAGCATGTGCAGAAAACACCATAAGTGGGTGTTAGGGTAGGACCACTTGGGCTTGACCAGAGGTGTGACAACCCTGGGGTGAAAGATGGGGTCAGGGGAACAGAGCTATGGGACTTAAATAGACAAAACAGCTGGGAAGGATACAGGAAAGTTTGTAGGGTGAGATGACATGTCAACTATGAGGCCATCCAGATCTGAAAAGAGCTACTGAAGAGGCAAAAGGAAGCTGGCAGCTGGAAGATGTATACAAGGGTCATGCCATGAGGAAGGGACACCAAGGGCTCAGGTGAGACAGGGGAACAAAACTCCTCCCAGGATCAAGATGCCCCAGAACTCTTGCCCTTTTGAATGGATCCACTCTGCCTGGGCAATGCCCAACCAGCTCATGGAAAGTGTGAGATGTCCTAGCATGGATTTTGGTTGGCAGGAGGAACAGATTTGGGGATGTACAGGGCAAGGGAGAGAAGGAGGCACTGGGAGTTGTGCAGGTTATATATAATCCCTTGAGGCTACATTAATAGATGCACGGTCTCTTGCGGGCTGCTCTGAGATGAGCACCAGCATGGGCTTTGACAGACACCAGGGCTGCGTAGCTGTGGCCCCTGACCCTGTCTGCGTAGCTCAGGGCACACAATGTTCTTAATGGATTAAACTTGGGACAAGGAAGGATGCCAAAAGCAACATGCCCAGCCCAGCCTTGTGGCTCCGAAGGCTCATTCAGTCCGTGTGGCCATGGCATGGGTCTTTCTTATCATATCCTTGGGGAAGTCAACAGCAAAACACTTAATGCTTTCTTCCTGGCATCTAAACAGGACAGCAGCCTGACTTGACAGTCATATATAAGGGAAAGATGTCCCTTTAAAAAGTATAAGCAGCATCAGTCAAGAGCATTCATTTCTGCAGGCTCTCCAGGGGACACACCATCCATCCTCTTCCCCAGCATCAGTCCAACTCAACCACACACAAGCATTAGCAAAATGCACGGTGAAATCATGACAATCTTCCCCTGAAGCTGTTGAGTTGCACTTGGTGGCTGCTCACTTTGCCTTTGCTGGGAGCTGCCTCTGAGGGACAGACAGCCTTGGTCTGTGCTTGGTAATGTACTTTGCAAAGAAATATTTCTGGGATACTTATTGTTGGATATTTTCAGAGCTCTGTTTCTGCCCTCACTGAATTTCAGACTCTGTTATATCATATTGCTCTAGTGTCCCAAAGGTGAGCCAGGTGTTTTGTCTTCTTTTGCCATTCTCCCCTTTGGGCTTTCCAGCTTAGAGTCCTTTCCGTGACATCCAGCTCTGGCTGCTTTTTGTGAAATGGAGTACCTGGAGTGAGACAGGAGCGTAAGAAATGCTATTTCCATTTCACTGTAGGCACTGGTTTTGTGAGTGATGCAGGAATTTTAACTTTAGGAAAAAAAAAGCAATAGTTTCCAGAGAAATCTTCAATGAGCTGAAATGTCAGTTTTCATTAAAAAACCCTACTCTTGCAGAAGTTCTTTCACTAGAGCTTTTTCCTGACCACTAACTACACAACAGCCTCCCCTCCTCCTGTCCTTCTCCACTCCTATGGATCATGGCTGCATCCAAATTCTTACTGCTCCAGGCAGTAGGAGAAGACATGGCTGGTACAACACCTTCATCTCTGCATGGCACAAAGCTGAGAGTCCTCTTCTGACTTGTTTTTATCATAAATTCTTGCATGTGGGAGCAATTATCTTTGTGAAATTACAAAAAAGTCTTTCAGAAAAAAAAAAAAGGCAGATAATTTGCAGGTTTTTCTTCCTCCCTCCCTCATCCCCTACAACCGCTGTTTTAAAAATCAGACATAGAAACAAGACACAGAGATGTTTTAGACAGGTTTGTGCATGTATTTGGTACAAACAAACAAAAATATGTGCATTTTGTTTCATAGAGCTTACATCAATCTGACAGAACTTGAGTCACAAAACAGAAATACTCTGGCTAATAAATACATCTGGGGATGAAAAATAAAAATCTATACATAAAAAATTCCAATGTCTGCTAAAGAAAATGTACACTTATATACACACTGTAAACAATAGTAATGCAACCCAACTGCAGTCCAACTCTGGCTGACAGAGGCCTTCTTTCCCTCTTATATAGGACTTGTGAGAATCTACTGACATAAAAGCTGCTGATCATCATCCTGCACTCTCAGTTCATCGAAGCAGCAAGGCCTGACCATGCCATAGTGACACAAAGCCAGAGCAATGAGGTGAGAGCTGCTGCATAACCAAGGTACGGGCGCTTTGGGAAATGGCCTGAGTGGTAAATTTGGGGAAATAGGGCCATACCCTCAGCTGGTCACACCCTTGTGGGTCCAGAGAAGTCAGCAGGATCAGACCAAATCTACCTCCTGAAGGTTTGAGCCTGTTTTTCCAAACTTGGGAGAGGTTGGAGGTTAGGTGAATTAGAGGGAAATGCACAATTTTAGATACTCAGGTCATGTTTAATTCAACATTGTCCTTCCTCCCCTGCCAGCAAAGGCAGCCCCATCTCCTCTAAATGAAGGTCTACACCAACAGCCTCAGAGTCTGGTCCTGGCATTGCTCCTTGTGATGCAAGGTGCTAAATGAAAGGGGGGCCCTGGCTTAGGTGAGAAACCAGTATTTTGCCTGAATGCAGCACAGAGAGCTCAAGACTTTCCTATAGCATCTTCTAGGGTATCCCTTGGGGACTGATCAAATGCAGTAAGTAAATGAGCCAGAGTCTGGGCATTTCTCTGTGCGTATGCATATGTGTGCTTAAACAGCCTTTGTTGTCATTTTTCTCCCCTGTAGGTCTGCAAAGAATTGGAATGGAGAGGCAGTAAACCTCCAGATTAATGTTTCTTTCCCTTCTGGATGCTTTCAAGGGGTTGGATGCTGCAAATGTAAATATTTTGAAATTGGAAAAAAAGAAAGAAATAGATTTAAAAGATCAGGTAGAAGCGTAAGCAATACTTTCACCTCATTTGTAGGAACAAACTGCTTGCCAGCAATTGCTAAAAGCCCCTGAAAAGTCTCCATTTATAGGACAATGTCTGCCATTTTGGAGATGACATTTATATGTTTAAATGTAGCAAGTTGTGTGTGTCTCTGTATGGTCATGGATGCACATGTTACCATCAGCTATGGGTATCAGGGTGTGGAGAGACACCAGAAATATCTGCTCCTGTCCATCTTGCCCCTTGACTAGACTTACACATCTGAGAATGTCTGTATCAGCTCGTCCTAAACTGTGCCCCCAAATTGCTTATATTATGCACTTGCTTGCATAATACCTGCAAAGCCATGTCAACAGGGGGAAAAAATGCAGGTCCACGTGCATTTACTCCCTCAAAGAGTGGCATGTGTGCACATGCATCCCAAGAGGTGGGTAGAAGGTGGGAGAAGTAATGCTTTCACCTCGACCTTCCAAGCACTTCTGCTCTTCAGTGACTGCCCTCTTCCTGATGTCTTTTCTGCTACGTCCCCAGTGCCAGCAGTGTGTTCTCCTGTCAGCATCCCAAAAATGCCCAGGAAACCAGTGGCAGCTGCAGTCCTTGGACTGCAAAATGACTTCCTGTGTTACCCCATCACCACTATACCATCGCACTTGCCTTGAAGGCCAAAGAAATGGGGGAAAAGGGATGCATTTCCCCACAGTGGTTCCCATGGGGTATTGGGCTGTTGCTTTGGTAGGGTTGAACCTCTCAGGCTGGCACTTTCTAGCTGATTTTGCAGACATGGGTGAACATGCAGGCAGTACCGAGTCAGGGTTCAGTGTAAGTGCAATGCTGCCCACGTGCTTTGGTGGGATTTGCTGCTAGGAGGAAAATATTTGGACAAAATATGCAGGTCTTTGTGCAGTAATTTGTTCAGTTTGCATTAAGTAAAGGGCAGAAGAGTGTTAAGAGTGTTTGTTAAGAGTGTTGGGATAGGGCCAGCTCCAAATATCGTGTCTCAGTATGCACTGTACAAAAAAGTAAAAGATAAAAGAAGTCCAAGCTTTCCTCTATTTCAATTTCCTTTAAAACAAATAAAGAGCAGAAAGAAAGATCACATTCTCTTTCCTACCCATTCTCTTTAACCTGGCATTCTCTTTAACCTTCTTTGATAGCCATCCTTAAGAGGATTAGCTAGATGTGCTGGAGGGACATTGATGAAAGGCTCCTAATGGGTTTGGGAGGCAGTGCTGACGTGAATGAGTTTCCACACAGGACATGTTCAGTGTCATATAATCATAGAATGGTTTGGGTTGGAAGGGACCTTAAAGATGATCAAGTTCTGATCCCCCTGCCATGGGCAGGGTCACCTCCCACCCGACCAGGTTGCTCAAAGCCCCATCCAGCCTGCTCTTGAACACTTCCAGAGATGGGACATCCACAACTTCCCTGGGCATCCTGTTCCAGTGTCTCACCACCCTCACGGTAAAGAATTTCTTTCTATTATCTAATCTAAGTCTCCCCTCTTTCAGTTTAAAACCATTACCACTCATCATATCACTCCACTCCCTCATAAGGAGTCCTTCCCCGTCTCTCCTGTAGGCCCCCTTTAGGTACTGGAAAGCTGCTATAAGGTACTGGAAGGCTGCTATATGTCATGTCTCAACTCCTCAATTTCATATTCCTGTTCTTTGCTCACCTGGCTTGAGACACTGCACCTCTGATCCAGATTTTGCCTCCATCATGCACCTCAGATGCAGAATTTGCCTCCATCACCTATATGTCTCCTGCCTCTGCCCGCAGTTGATCTAATATCTTTTTCCGGCTCATTGCCTGTCTGAAATTTGATAAAGCCAGTGCCTGCAACACATGGCCAAGCAGAGTTTGGATGACCATTTTTCTGAGTTTGTGTGAGCCTGGTCAAGGTGGACCTGTCATAGCTCCAACCTCCTTGTGGTCCCCAGAGGAGGCCATGGTGTCCTCCTACACTCTAGGGCTGTGAGAAGGATAAACTCCTCTCTCCCCCCTGCCTCTCCCTGCCCCTTATTGACACTGCTTTTGACCATGCTAGCAGACATAACTAAGGGCAATTTTTGATTGCCTCCACAGGCTTTGATGTTTCAGGTATGTGGGAAACGACTGGAGAGAAAAGTCATGGGTGTGACCCTGACTGGGGTGAAGATCCAGCTACACAAGGGAGCTCCAACTGCACATCAGCTCCATTTTAGCTTTGACTCTGTGGGTAGTAGAAACAGGCCCCAAACTCAGCCATCCTACATTTCCTGAGCCACAGCACAGATTGACTATAGACCTGAGTGAAGCCCCTAGGGTGCATCTTTATTCCATGTTGTTTGAGAGATACAACAAGAGCAAGAAAGGGACAAAAAAAGACTGGGGATGGCCAACACCAAAAGGAGCTGCTTGCCCTCTGTATCACAGAGGGATGTGCACTAGAGCAAGGTGGGTTTCAAGTGTTTCACTGGGAAGTGAAATGAGGAATGCATCACAGGTTGGAATTAGGGAAGAGAGACCTGCACACCCTTTGGCATCAGTGTATATATCTGGACTGCTCCTTGGGCCTAAAACCAGATTATCTGCAAGGTCACTGCAGACATGATGGCTGAGAGCCAGGATTCTCCCACTCTGCTTGGGAATACCACAGTCTGCTCGCCCTCCAAAGCAAAGGCCTCAGCTGGAGGCCCTGCCCAGCCCTGTAGACCTACAAGCTCCCAACCCATTATCTAAAGGATCAGCTGCTGCCTACTGCTCATCAGTGTCCTTTCTGAGTGCTGCCTCTGGATGGAAACATGATCACATGTACTAAGGCAGGGTTGGCATCTTTTGGGGTTTGACCTTTCCATTAGATTTTGTGGTGGTGTTTTTAAGGCAAAGGAGGCATCCTGGTTTCCCTTAATTGCACAGCTTCTTCCAAAGTCAAAGATAACCATCCACTGCAGGAAACAGCTCTTTTCCTAAGGCCATATCCACCCCATAATTTTCCTTCCTGCTGTGGCTCATTAAAATGGGATATGCCATTGGCTCTTTTTTGAGGAACCCATAATCCCAGAGAAGAGGCTGACCTCTGCATGGGGGATGCTTGTATAACCTTTGGGTAACTGCATTTTATACCTGATTGCTGCTTCCAGTCTGCCTGACAGACCCACAGATGGTATCCCTTCTCATTTCCGCTAGATACCTCTAAAGAAACCATCAACAGAAGTGTCAGTATCTTCAAATATCTGTTTCTCGCAGCCCGCAGCAGTCTGCTAAGTCATAGGTTTGATAGTCAATGGTTTCTGCAAAGTCATGAGGGATCCCAATAGAGACAGACTCCACCTCTGTTTTGTAGGTGGCTGTCACCCCACTTTTGCTGGAGCCACCCCGGATTTTGTTAGAAAGGCTGTTCATCTTCTCCTTCAGCTGAGTAGATGCTGGTTTCTGGAAAGGAGTGAGCATTTTCCAGCCCTTGAAGCTGAGTGTTCGCCTCTTACTGGCTCTCTCCTGCAAGGAAGAGTTAAATATGAACGAGCTGTTCAGGGTGTTAATCCTGGGCCTCAGGTCCGTCTCAGGGTCTTGCACGGAGCTGTTAATGGAGGCCCCTCGCCAATGATGGTCGTAGACACGCCAGATGGGCCTTCTTCTCCGGTGGCATTGGCATTTGAGCAGCCTGATGAAAGCTCGCTTGAACTCTTTGCTGGAGCATGGGTAGATTATGGGATTCACACAGCTGTTGAAGTAACCCAGCCAGAAGATGACCTTGAAGACCATTTCGGAGGGCTTCAGAGACGGGAAGAAAGAACCTTGGAAGAGAGTAAAAGAAATATGGTTAGAGGAAGGAGAAAAGTATGGCAGTGCAGGGTAGCAAGGGTGGTGGTCAGCCAAGTCTGGAAGAGGAGGTGCCTGCAGAACCACACCCTGCTGAAGGTGTGATTCCGCTGTTAGGTCCTTGGCTAGCAATGCTGTTGTCACCACAGTGAAAAAAATGACCCCTGCAGGACTGCAAGCCATCAACCCTAAAGTAGTAATGATGTATATGTCTTTAGCAGCAGCCTCTTAGCCCCCACTGCAAAAGGGCTTCTAGCATTGGAACCAGCACCTTCAAATGCAGTTCTGAGCCATTAAGGCAAGCCCATACAGCTTGCAGGGAGGCTGTTAATTGTTGCAGCAGCTACACGAATATAAAGGAGGTGTGTGTGTAGAGGATTTTGCTCACACCTCCATCCAGCTACACTCAAGTCCAGCATGCACTCCAGAGGAGAAAGCCCTGCTGTAGAACCCAACAACCAAACCTGTTTTCCTCAGTGTCGGTTCAGCCATCCTGCTCTGAATTGGTGTAGGATACTTGCACTGAAGATGTATCTTCCATATCTAGGGGTTGGGTTGCTTTCTGAGACCGTACCGCAGGGGCTGAGGACATCATTTTGGGGATCAAGTTCAGCAGTCCCCAATGCCTCCTTGGTTTATCAGCAGCCAGGCCCTGCCCCATTCCAGATCAGGTGGAGGAAATTGTTGCTTGGACTATGATGGGCTGCATCAAAATAAGTGGGGCCAGGAGGCTGAGGGAGGTGATTGTGCCCACCTGCTCTACTCTGGTGAGACCCCACCTGGAGCAGTGAGTCCCACTCTGGAGCCCTCAGAACAGGAAAGACAGGGACCTGTTGAGGCGGGCCAAGAGGAGGCTCACAAAAATGCTGAAGGGGATGGAACACCTGTTTTTAGTCTGGAGAATAAAAGGCTCCGAGACCTTATTGCAGCCTTCCAGTCCTTAAAGGGGGCTTACAAAGATGGGGACAAAGTTTTTATCAAGACCTGTTGCATAGGGCAAGGGGTAGTCGCTTTAAACTAAAAGAGAGTAGATTTAGACTAGATAGAAGGAAGAATTTTTTTATGATGAGGGTGGTGAAGCAGTGGAATAGGTTGCTCAGAGAGGCTGTAAATATCCCTGGAAACATTCAAGATCAGTCTGCAGGGGCCTCTGAGCAACCTGATTTAGTTGAAAATGTCCCTGTTCATTTCATGGGGGTTGGAACAGATAACTTTTAAAGGTCCATAACAATCCAAACTATTCTTTTATTCTTTGATTCTGTGCTTTTCAGGGGTTGGTTCTTGGTGCCTGCTTCTTCCTACATGGGGCACTGCACAGTTCACCACTACATTGTAAATGGATGAATACATCCCTGGCATCTGCACTAATGGAAGAGCAACACCCCTTCACATATTTTGGATCATCAGTGTCACACACCCTCTGTTCAAATTTTGCAGTGGTGCTAAACTGGACACTTAAAGAGGACTCAGATAATATTCACTCACACAAACTTGTACCTGCTGCTTGAAAAAGCTCTTTTGTCTACCCTAGCCCCTATTTATGCTTTTGTGCTGGAGGTTCCCGGTGGTTTTGTTGGTGAAGAAGCTAGAGATTTTTTTTATGGCCAGAAGATGTCAGTGTTGCTCCCACATGACCCTATCACTTAGCATTCCCTACTCAGATCTGAAATAACTTTCTGACTCAGCCTTAATTTCTTTTAATTTTAGCTCTGAATGACAAATTGTGCTGCCATGTGACCAAGCGTTAATTTGTATTTTAGTAAATAACATTAGCTCTGGATATCATTATTATTTTTCCTGTGCTCAAAAGCCTGGTGTCAAAACAGTAAAACAAGTGCCAGGAGCCAGGAATTTGGGACTGACACTACATAAAATCTCCCCAAGCTGTTTGCTGGAGAAAAACCATCATCCAGGAAAACTAGAGAACTGGTTCCAGCAAAGATTTCTTACACTTATCCCTAAAAAGTGCAGAAATTACAGCCAGACTCAGCATTAAGTATGTGGGCTACTCCATCATGGGGATATGGGAGAAGACAAGAGATCTCAGCATTTTCTGATGGTTAGGCAGGAAAAGCACAGATGTGGCCATACAGCTTAAGTATCTGCTGGAGGCCAACCCAAGTAGGGCTGGAGTACACACTGGCTGTCAATATGCGCTGAAGGAGGCATTGAATAAGGACAGTAAGCAGGACTGACATCTCTGAGCTGGAAAGACCTGGGGCTTTCAGGGAGATGAATGGCATTTGCGGTTTAATGAGCAGCCGCTGGTGTTGTAGCCTGTGGTTTTAAACAGAGCAATAACACCAGGGTTAGGTTTTGTAGAGGTTGGTTTTGATTATCGTAGAATCATAGAATGGTTTGGGTTGTAAGGGACCTTAGAGATCATCAAGTTCCTACCCCCCCTGCCATGGGCAGGGACACCTCCCACTAGAGCAGGTTGCTCAAAGTCCCATCCAGTCTGGCCTTGAACACCTCCAGAGATGGGGCATCCACAACTTCCCTGGGCAACCTGTAAAAGTGAGTTTATTCTTTCTGGGACAGTCGTGAACATTATAGATTAGCACTGAGCTGCTTGAATCACTACATCTAACCACAGCAGAAACACCAACGCCTGCATGTTTAGCCAGGAGCTTTTAAACACCTCAGCGGTGATGGGGACAATCTCCCTTTGCATTCCATGTAGCATCTCTGTTCTCCATCTAGTCATGGTTTTAAGCCTTGCTCCTTTCTCACACTGCCCCAACCCACCACCTGGACCTACAGGTACAATCCGATGTTTTGGGTAACGTGGACCCGCGGTGGCTTTCCAAGCCTGGCATCAGTTCCTCTCCTCAGTCTCAGGTCTTGGCAGTAGTGGATGGGTCTGTTTTCCTGCCCAGACTCCCCACTCTCTATCCTGCCCAGGGATCAGCCTCTACCCAGAGCCCTGTGCTCTCTCCAAGGCGATCCTTGGCTCTCAGCCCTAGGACATTGTGTTGTCCTCGCTTCACCCCGCTACAGCTCAGTGTGAACGTTTGGGGCCAAGACAGGTGAAGGACTTTATTAAGCATGTAATCCTGCTCATTCCCTTGTTGGGGAGAGGTTTGGTGCCTCAGTTTCCCCACTGGAGAAAGAAGCTAATTACTATAAACTCTTTCAATAGTGTTGCTGTGAACCCTGTTTGCAGCGCGCATTGGGTTCTCAGAGGAGCTGCAGCTTTATGTAGCATTTTTTAACTTTAAAGAGAGAAAAAGAAAACAAAAAGCTATGGTAACAAAGCAAATAAAAGAAGGGTCTCCTTAGAAATGAGACTGGTAATTACTGCTTGAGCCAGGCTACTTAAGAGATTGGTGCTTGCTTAAACAGCCTGATGGTTGTTAAAATAATAACTTACATCTAAGGTTTAGCGGTTCATTGCACAACGCAGTTTCTGTACTACATGCTTTGTCTTTTGCATCCAGATAAAAATTACAAATTGAAAAGAAAAAAAAGCTATGAATTCTCTGAATTTCAACTTTGGCTGTTTTTCACCCGCTAGAACCTTGTGTACATCTCAAGACAAGGCGCTCATTACCATCCTCATTACCATGCAAATAAGCGTGCCCCTTGGAAGAGATGTGTACTGAGTGCATTCATAGTTTCCTCATTTGATCACACTGGGATGAACAGAACTAGGCAGGGAGTTCCCAGAACAGGTCTTTGGCTGGTATCTTTGTACATGCTGGGGCATCAGACTCTCTTGATAGGCACTGGGAGGCTGCACATAAGGAAGAGTTGTGGGATCTTATCTAGAGAATGAGTAAAGAATGGAAGAAATTAGCTCTTTCTTTCATACAAATTTTGAGAGATGGAGGGGTTTTGGACTGGGTTTTGTAACAGTTACTATAAAGGAGCATAGATCTTGTTCGGATGCATAGAAGACAGAGCCTTGTCCTTCATATTTCCCACTGCCTTGTTGAGAAAGCTCCATGTTGGCTTATGGAGATCCTACTGAGGACTTTGTCTTCTCTTAATAAATAAAAAATTTATAATAATACTGCTGGGGGCTTGAAAGTCCATTTGGGCCCTTAATACCTTTTGCCATTTTATAAAATGTTATTCCACATCTTGCAAACTCTGAATCCTAGTCATAGAGCTGGGTCTGAGCAAGCACTGCAAGTCCTGTTGTAATTCTAGATAATTATCTTCAGGATCATTAAGAAATTAAGAAAGCTGCAGTTGAAGTCAGGGAAAGCCTGGCGGCACCATGCAAAGTGACTTGACTCAGTGAAGACTGAAATTCATTTTTTTGGTGATGCAAAAGTTGAGCCAATAAAGTATGTTGTCTGAAGTGAAAGCAAAAAAGTAATTTATTTGCTGTTCTAACAGCATGTGGATATGTGTGTGTGTGTGCAGAACATGCATATGTATCTGTCTGTTTTATGTATGCTTACACTTTTTTTTTTCCTAGTCAATGTCACCTGCTCATAAAAAACCAGCCAGGTACAAATCTCTGAAACCACTGGCATTCTCCCCAATGCTGTGACACCCTGTGTTGGGTGGCTAGTGGATGCAATCTCTCTTCCACATATCCAAATACATATCCCATTTTTTTCAGGTTGTTTGGGCTAGCACATTCTCATGATTTTTTCTTGTCTGCACTTCTCCACCCTGCCCTCCCCATGACTCACTTGAAGGTGATATCACTGGATTGTTTGGAAAGTTGCTGTTCCCAGTGTTCAGCACTCAAAAAATAAAGCAAAACAAGGAAAAAGACAAATGCACAAATGAAAATGGACCCAGTCCAATCTAAATTCTGGCCCCGGCTCCCAGTACGCAGCCAGAATCTGTAAGCAGACTTGCTTTCTGCCGCAGTTGGCAAGGGTACCTTTGCTTTAAAAGGGCCCTGCTTTACAGCATGTCCTGAATAGTCCATAGCACAAAATACTGCAGACGTGATAGCAGGTGGGAAAAACAGAGTGCTAAATTCATGCCCCACTGCTGTCCCACCATGAGC